GATAGATAGATGCATTGCTAGCTAGCTAGCTAGCAATGCATCTATCTATCTATCTGCATATCTAGCTAGCTAGCTAGCTAGCTAGCTGTTCACTGTGTTACCCATTAGGGTGTATCTAACAATAAAGCTACAGGGCTTAATAGATCCAGGGGGCTGCACTGGGAAAGCAGAAGGGTTTAGGGTTTAGGGTTTAGGGTTTAGGGTTTAGGGTTTGTGTTTCAGGGTATCGTTTGTTTGACTTGGAGAGAGATGTAATAAACAGCTGCGAGCTGTCTTCGCGCTGGTGTCTGTTCATCGCCCATTTAAACCTTTGTCCCCTCTCCTTCAAAAGAAATGTATGCTCAGCTCTTACTATTATTATTATTATTATTATATTATTATTATTATTATTAATTATTACTTATTATTGTTGTTATTGTTATTGTTATTATTATTATTATTATTATTATTGTTAATATTATTATGATTATGATTATGATTATTATGATTATTATGATTATTATGATTATGATTATTATTTGTTATTATTATTATTATTATTATTTGTTATTATTATTATTATTTGTTATTATTATTGTTATTATTATTATTATTGTTATTATTGTTATTATTGTTATTGTTATTAATTATTATTTATTGTTATTGTTGTTATTACTGTTATTATTATTATTTTCTTCTTTTTGTTGTTTTCTTTTTTTACTTCTTTTAGCAGTAGCATCTGCTTCACTAAGCTATGCCTGGAATGCAGCAGCAGCAGCAGCAGCAGCAGCAGCAGCAGCAGCAGCAGCAGCAGAGTGTTTGCCTGTTTGTCGAAGAGCACGTTTGCGAATGCCAGTCTCTGTTCGCTAGAGCTGATTGTTTATTATTTATTGTTTATTGTTTATTATTTATTGTTTATTGTTTATTATTTATTGTTTATTGTTTATTGTTTATTGTTTATTGTTTATTGTTTATTGTTTGTTGTTTGTTGTTGATTGCGCTAGAGTTTATTGTTTATTGTTGAGGGTTTAGGGTTTAGGGTTTAGGGTTTAGGGTTTTAGTTTTTTTGTGTTGTATATAGGTATTACTGGTCGATAATATATTTCGTCAGCACCAGATGTCTCTACAATCAGTATTAAACGCTGAGCTGCCTTTCTTATTGCTGAAAGTTAGGAGGCAATGCTTAGTTGAAGATGCATGCAAAGCCCTGGGATCGATCGATCCCAGGGATCTTTTAAGACCCCTCAAAGTCGTCTTTCTTGGTGAAGAAGGCGTAGATGAAGGAGGCCTTAGAAGAGAGTTCTTCTCAGTGAGATCAATATAATTAAATAAATAAATATATATATATATATATATCTGTATATATGCTTATATATATATACATATATATATTTATATATACATTTATAGAGTAGATGAAGGAGGCCTCAGAAGAGAGTTCTTCGCAGTGATATCTATATATATATATATATGTATATGTATATGTCTATATATATATATATATATATATTATCTATATATCTATATGTCAGACCTGAGCACACATTAATTA